CGATGAGTTTAAAAAGAAAGCGACGATTTATTGTGTACGGTTTGGTCACTCGTTATGGTCCGCAATCAGTTACCAGCACAAATGGTTAACCTCTTGCGCCGAGAATTTTTTTCCCCAAAATTGCAATATTTTCGGTTTCAAGTATATTTAAGTATAATCCAGGCAAAACAAGTAATAAATTTATTATTTCTCAATAATTTCTATCTGTCCATAGTGATATCATACCGACTAGTTCAAAAAGAAAGCGACGATTTATTGTTTACGGTTTGGTCACTCGTTATGGTCCGCAGTCAGTGGTTAACCTCTTGCGCTGGAATGACGTGCCACGCACGTCGACAATTTTTTGCCCCAAAATTGCATTTATTTTCTCAGTTTTAAGTATATTTAAATATAACTCAGGCGAAACAAGTAATAAATTTATCACTTCTTAATAATTTCTATCCACAGTGATAACATACCGACGATTTGAAAAAGAAAGCGACGATTTATTGTATACCGTTTGGTCGCTCGTTACGGTCCGCAATTAGTTGCCAGCGCAAGTGGTTAAACGCGAGTTGGACGCGATGGTCGGTGAGCGATTCGATCCGAGATACGGTTTTCAGAGCCAGACGGTAAGCTGATGGTACTGGTGATCGCCGACACGAGCACTCTGATGATCTACGAGGGTAGCACGTTGAGATGGTCGGCCCAACTGCCGTTCGCGCCGGTCACCGTCGCCAGAGTTCAACTGGAGGTGAGTTTACGGTTTACTTTAAACACTTTAGACACTACTTTGGACACGACTTGGTGTTCTCAGCACCTGCACGGCGTGATCGTGATCTTGTCGGCGGACGGTCGACTGGAAGCCTGCTACCTGGGCTCGGAGCCGAGCTTGTTCGTCGTGCCGCCGCTTCACCCACGGGGTTACGATTACGCGGCCGCCGAGCGAGAGTTGTCAGAGCTGCGAGCTGCCGTGTCGAGCAAAAGCAAACAGACTGGTGAGATGAATCGCACCAATAATCGATGATAAGCTCGACTCGCGACTGTTGTCAATCTGTCGTGCACTTTTGACTATTTCTTTTTCATCCAAAGGACCAGCCGCCACTGTTCAGCGAAATGAAAAATGAATCTTTCACTTTGATTTTGACGTTACGTCGTGTTTGACTTCTCGATTAACGCTCGCTGTATAATAATTTTTAAATCACGCGTCTAATGAAAAGTTTAACCGTTTTCGCGCCAACGACCAATAAACGACGATACACCGTTCGATACACACAGAGGATCGGACCAGCGACGCCGGAATGGACGCGGAGCTGACGGTGTCGGTGAACGCGTCGCTCGACTCGGATCGTCCGGAGACGGAGAAGGAGAGCGAGAGAGAGAGGGAGAGCGAGGCCGAGGCCGAGTCGCGACCGCGACCGATCTGCAACGTGGCGATCGAGCTGTCCTCGTACGCGACCCTCGACGACGTTCAAGTGTGCGTCGACGTTTCGAAACCGCTGCTCGTCACCGACGATTTCTACGCTCTGCCGAGTCTCTGTAAGTCGATCTCTCGCGACGCTCCCCGATCAACGTGTAATAAAACGGCGAACGATTTTCAGGCGAGCGACACGTGGCCAATGTTCGAGTGTACCTGGACGGGGACTGGCCAGCCTTCTCGCTAGACGTCTCGGTGACAGTGACCTATCGAACGGACGCGGGTATTCTGAGAGCGGTGCGAAAGACCAGCCAACTGCCTCTGAAGACCGTGCTGAGAAGTTGCCCTCCAGAGAGCACCGCCTCTTTCGTCACCGTCGTCAAGAGCGACGCTCCTCCGCTCGCCTTCACCCAGCTCTTTCCCGGTAGAACACGTGTTTTCTCTCTCTCTTTTTTTTTTTT